CGAGGGCTTCCCTGTCCGCCGGAGGTAGCGGGCTGTAGGAGAGGCTGGGGGCCTCCTGGGCAGCGGAGGGCGGCAAGGGGTGGGGGTGCTGTGGGCGTTTCTTCCTCCGAGACCAGCTTCCATCTTCGTTTTCCAGAAGGGGCGACCCGACTCCTTTCAGAATTAAACGCCGCCGGCCCCGCCCCCGCGCGCACAGTCGATGCTCTTGAATTCCAAAGAAAGGGAAGAGAAGGGCCATTCCGCACCTCCTGCCATAGTCCCCGTGCAAGGGAAGTGGGTCAGCCTTAGGGGGAATGATGCGCCTGTGCGAGAGGAGGTTTTGGGGTTTGCTTTATTCCAAATTTAGCAAATACAGAAAAGTGGACGGAAGAAAATTAAAATCGTTATTTCCTCCCACAGTATCCATGGGTGCCTCCTGAAAGTGTATCCTAAAAATGTTTGTTCAACAAGTATTTATTGCACACCTACCTATACTATGTGCTCAGTGCTGTTTGGCTGTGTGAGGACTACGGAGGGAAGAGAAGGATGACCAGGAAGCAGGGTTTCCAGAAACCTGTGCAAATGAGTACCTGCTCATGTCTTCAGGGAAGAAGGGCAAATCCCATTGCAAAAGCCAGAGAATCACTTTACTGAGAAAGATTTCAGAAAAGAAAAACCACAGAAGAGAGGAGCTGTGGATGGGATAAAAGCGCTATAACCTGCATTCAAATCTAATTGCACATTAGAGAATATGTACAGTATGTAGGGAAAGTTATTTAGCCCAAATCTCTGACTTTATTAATTTTTTCTTGCAAGGTTTTTATTTGACTTTTAAAAACAAAATAATAAATAATACTAATTATAAGCAAAATTGTAAACTATCAGAATTTTAATATTCATGAGGAAAATGGAGCCCAGAAAAGCTAAGCGACTTGCTTAGAATCCAGTAGGGCAGGACTGGGGCTGCACTGTGGACCTCAGGTTTCTAGGCTGGTACTGTTTCTGTTGTATCAAATGTGACTCAGGCTTTAAATGAAATTCTGACATCGTTGAGTTTCAGAGGATTCATCTTGGAGGAAAAAAGCCTATAAACTTAATTAGAACTGGCATTCTCAGATAAAAATTATATCTTGGATAATTCTTACTGAGAACATAGTCAATAGACATAATGAATAGCCTTTGGCTATATTGTAACTTTTAGGAGATGGCAGGATTTATACTGGAAAGTAGCTAAATATTTCATAAATATGTTAAGAAGTCAGATGGATTATCTTTGTTAAATTCCAGGGAATTTACATTTGAATTAGCTCCTGTGAAAGTTTACAAGTTCCACAGAGCTAGGTGGGTGCCTGTCATTCTTGTGATTGGAGGAGCCACCCAGTTTGCTTTCTGTGTGATTCAGAATTTTGTGATCCACTCTTTTTTTTTTTTTTTT